GATCACTAAGTCAAAATATACTGAGGGCCTATTTTGTGCCAGTAACTGCTCTAAGGTGCTACGGATACAGTAATGGAATCAGACACAGCCCCAGCACTCAGGGAGCACACAGTCTGGCCCAGGAGAGAGAAAAACTAAATCATGTAATCACAGGTAGCAAAAGTGCTATGAAAGGAAAGCAAGCAGGTAAGAGGCAAGCTATTAGAGACTTAAGTCAGGAAAGGCCTCTCTGAGATGAATGACATTTCACAGGTAATCCTCCCCCGACAACTCTACTGTCCCAAGAATGTCTGTTTTATTGGAAAATAATGGCAATGTACATCCAGATGCTTCATCGAAAACCAGCAAATCTTCCATAGTCTATGAGAAGTGATTCTATGTAATAAAGTATAAAATGATGAAGTAACAGTGAAACATACAGTGAAAAGAGAAAATGAAGTTTTACCTCCTTTGGTAGAGTAGCATAGTGTGTGTTAATACTGTGGAACTAGAAAAAGTCTCACAGAAGGGAGGTCAGTATTCAGATGCTTATCGAAAACCCTTTCCAAGTTCTCCTAGAACACATGTTTCTGACTCTGTCACTCTCTTCAATTCCATAGCTCTCCACAGTTAATCATGCTGGAATGAGACCCTCCACTGTGGCAACAAACTACCATTCATATTTCCCAAGGGCTCTCCACACGTACTGGTTTCCAAGAAAACAAGCACTATGGTGACTGCTCTTCCCTCTACCTGGATTCCATCCCCATCAAATCTCTTTCCTATAAAGTTTAAGTACCTACCAAAGTCCTATCCTTCAAAGCCCATCTCAAATACCAACTCCTAAAGACATGAATGTGATTTCTCCAGAGAAAGGGCATCTCCTTCCACAAACTCCCTTTCCAGTCCAATTCATTGTAGGATTCATGGTGGAAAAAAACAGGGTTATTCATTTTTCTCTCTTATTGAAACAGTATGTTTTCAATATTAGATACTCATTTATTCAATATGTAAAAGACTAAAGGAGATCTACAACTAGGTTGAGGAGAGAGATTCAAGATGGCATGAAGTCCTATTCGGTATGGTTCTAGGCACTAAATGCTATGGCTGGCTGGGTGAGGTGGCTCACACCTGTAATCCTCGCCCTTTGGGAGGCCAAGGTGGGAGGATCACTTAAGGCCAGGAGTTAGAGACCAGCCTGGGCAACACAGCAAGATCCTGTCTTTACAAAAAAAAAAATTAAAAATTAGCCAGGCATGGTAGCACACGCCTGTAATCCCAGCTGGTCAGGAGGCTGAGGCAAGAGGATTGCTTGAACCCAGGAGTTCCAGGTTACAGTAAGCTGATTGCACCACTGCACTCTAATCTGGGCAACAAAGCAAGATGCTGTCTTGAAAAAATAAATAAAACGCTGTGGTTTTGTAGGAAATCTTAACAGAAAAGTAAAGTAGCACAGGTTATGTGTATATCTTTGCTAATAACTTGATATGAACCCCAGGGAAGTTGTTTAGCTTCTCTGGGTTTAGTTTCCTCATCTATAAAATGGTGAGAGGCTGTGTGTGGTGGCTCATGCCTGTAATCTCAGTACTTTGGGAGGCTGAGGCAGGCGGATCACTTGAGCTCATGAGTTCAAGACCAGCCTGGGCAACACAGTGAGACACCACTACACACACAAAAAAAGATGAGACTATCACCTACCTATCACAAGGGTTGGTGTGAAAAATTAAGTTCATACACAATAATGTACTTGTTCAATATGTTAGCTGCCATCGTGTTTTTCATTATTATTTACATTATTTCTGAAGAAGCAATTTCTACATTGATAAATTGAGAATATCAGACTTCTTTCAACTCAGATATGGCACACCTAAGTGCCACAAGAACACTGAAGATGGCCAGGTGTCATGGCTCACGCCTGTAATCCCAGCACTTTGGGAGGCCAAGGCGGGTAGATCACGAGGTCAGGAGTTCAAGACCAGACTGGCCAAGATGGTGAAACCCCATCTGTACTAAAAATACAAAAAATTAGACAGGCATGGTGACGGGTGCCTATAATCCCAGTTACTCATGAGGCGGAGGCAGAGAATTGCTTGAGCCCCAGAGGTGGAGGCTGCAGTGAGCCAAGATCCCGCCAGTCTAGCCTGGCGAAAGAGCGAGACTCCTCAAAAAAAAAAAAAAAAAAAACACTGAAGATGTCAGAGATCACCACGAGCTAACAATCAGGGATAAGCTTCATAAGAGAGCCAGAAGGCAGGCTAGGCAAAGAAAGATGCAAGCTGGGTAGAGATGTGCAGAGGAAGACATTCTAGGGAGAAAGACTGAACTAGCGAAGACTACGAAGTGAGAATGAATGTGAAACGTGCTTATAAAGGAAGACAATTTAGCTGGTTTGTGTTTTTGGCAATGGTGGAAAATAAGATATGATCTAAATGACTTGAAATATAGTGGACTAAAAACAACTGATTATATAAACCACATTATCACTGTATTTTTGGAAGTGGAAGGAAGAGTTCTAGTAAAAGTGATTAGCATCTACTCTACATAATACCTTGAGAGTATCTCACACACTATATACAGGTCAGTTCTTTAATGAGAATCTATACAAAAACTCAAGAATTTAATCACACTCTTCTAAACTAAATATAAGTAAATGCTGGGTTATGGTTATTTTAGAAGCATCCCTTCTCTTTTGTCAGCTTAAACAGAGTTGATTAAATGACTATCAATGTAACAAAACACAAATTTAAACAACTGCACTCCTCTTACATTAAATTTTCACAATATAAATCAGATCATATCATTCCTCTGATGGAAACCCTCACATCCTTCCTGTCCAAGTAACAGTGTAAAAGGTTCTGGTTGTTCTGCACTCCTTTCCCTCCATTCTTCCCTGACCTTATCTCCTATTACTCCCTCGCCTCACAGTGCTCCAAACACGTTGGTCTTCACACTCTTAAGGTGCCAGCTTTGTCCTCCTCAAGGCTTTTATGTTTATTATTTCCTAGCTTGGAACGTTCTTTTCCCCAGATAAACATAGGGCTCACTCCTCCTTCTAGTCCCCTTCAATATCGGCTAGACTATCCAAACTTCCCTGACCACTTTATTGCAAATTCCAACAACACGTCTCGATACCCCTTTCCAGTTTTCTTTCTTTTTCCTAAGGTACTGGTCATCTTTTAACATTCAGTATAATTTACATATTTGTTTGCCTCTCCTCCCGCTACTAGAAAGTTAAGTTTCACAAAGGCGGGGGTCTAACACCTATTCCAGCACCTAGAACGGCGTTAGAGAACAGGCATCAACGAAAATATAGCTTGAATGAATGAACTGCACATTAGGCTACACAATGCCTCTTCTAGGTACAGAAAGATACATTTTTTTCTTCAGCTCTCAAAGTCTAAAAGCTAATTTTTGTACGAAACACTCATTGCTCACCTCCTATGTGCCAGAACCGGGCTTGGCTCTGCAAAGTGATTTAAGACATAGTCCCCGCCCTTTAGGAAGACCTGGGTGTGTATATGAGGGAGGACAGAAACAGAAATATCATTTACAAAAAGAATATACAGGGAAGCCACAGGAAATTGGATAACTGCCTACAGGAGTGGGGACAAGAGGGAAATTCTCAGTGACGAAAATACAATTCCCCAAAACTCTCGACAGCTTCTATGTTTTTGATGTACATGTTTGCAACTCCACATAAATTATTCATTCACATCAGATAGGTTCTCAACTAGGCCGCATAAAAGTTTGTGACTACAGTGATGCTAATCATCGCCCTACTCAAGGCTGTACAAAGATCATCGCCTATGTCTTTTCACTCTTCTCATTTGGCAGCTTTTGCCTATCAGGACCCCAGATTCAGAGGCCTGCAACTCCCAAGCGCTGCCTCCTTGGATCAGAATTCTCCCCGCGCTATCCCTGCCTCGGAGCCGGGCACCCTGCAAATCCCTTTCCCAGGCGAGCAGGCGCCGCCAACTGGGCCTCGGTTAAGACTTGCGAGGGAAGCGGGAGCCGTGGGAGGGCGACGCGGCTAGGAAGGAGCTCTCCAGGCCTCAGCTCGCGTTCCCACCCCTTCCTGGCACTCCTGCCGCCAGTGCATGGAGGCTCTCCCGACTCTTTGTTAAGCGAGGCCGCCGATCCTCAGCCCTCGCTAGGCCCAACAGTTGCCTCCAGTGCCCCCAAGGGCTAGCGGCCCTGAGTCCAGAACCCCCACGCACAAACCTGCTGCTATGGCTGCAGCGGGAGCTACTACCACCGCCGGCGCGGAGAGAATCCTGCGACCCAAAGTACGCGCTGTCCCGGCCAGGTCCCGCCGCGTTCCTCCCTCTCCACCCCCTTCGCCGCCGTCGCCGCCGCCGCCGCCGCCGCCGCCGCCGCCACCGCCACCGCCTCTCGACCCGTTGCTGGAGGGGGGAGGGGAACAAAACCTGACATGCGCAATGAGGGGTGCGCGGGCCAAAGGGCGGGGCGGAGGCTACGGCTCCCGGAAGGCGCCTGTTCTTAAAGCTCCAGAACGCCTCACAGGCTCCTCAGATACTCTGACAGGAAACTGCAGTTGGGTGGACAGTGTTCATGACCTGTCTAGAAAGTCGGTCTGGGAATGAAGACAAAGTGAAGAAAAAGTGGCGTCAGGGGGCTGGCCGAAAACCCCAACATAAAACGGGTTGGGCAGAAACCACATTTACACGAACATGCCGATCGTTTAAACTCTGGTCCCTGGCAAATACTACTCGAGCGACACTCCTCTGCTTGCCTCGGGCCATGTGGTCCCACGCAGCATGGCCACCTTTAGCTTCCGGAGCACTGGTTCAGTGTGACGTCAGCTTGATCTAACCTTAGGGAGGAGGATTGGGATAGGCGAGGACAGTTCCGGCCCAGGGGCGCGGATTATGTAATTTTCCCAGCAGCCCCACTCCGCCTCAGGGGGCGCGGGAGCGGGAGGTCTCGCGCGGTCAGGAGGGCTGCGTCCCGCCCTGCACGCTGCGCGCAGGCGCGGACGAGCCGCTCGAATTCTACGTAACGGACGGCTGGGGCTGTGAAGAGAGGTGCGGCGTGACTGAGCTACCGGGTATGGCTGTGTCCTAGAGGCATCCGCGGCAGTAAAACCGCGGCGATCGCGGAGGCGGCGGCCAGGCCGAGAGGCAGGCGGGGCAGGGGTGGTGGACGCAGGGGCGCTGGGCCCGGTTTCGGCCTCAGCCATAGATAGGGAGCGGGCCAGGACGCGTTCGTCGGCGGGGCCGGGTCAGGCCGAGCGGTGACTCCGAATTGCGTGGCCTGTAGCCCGGTCCGGTTTCTCAGCCAACTCTTAAGTCCGGCCGATGGTGACAGGCATCGGTCCCCGCGCCTTCTCTCCTCTCCGGACTTAATTTTAAAAAAACTGTTACCCTTTAAAAATCTCTGTTCACCCTAAGGCCCGCTTTCTGTTGGTATTTTATGGGTTGAGATAATTGCAATGGTTTTGAGGGAACTGCCCTACGGAGCTGTGAGCAAATGATAGCCAGAAGGGCAGAGTTAGAGGAAACGTACAGTGTGTGCCGCAGGATGACATTAGGATGTATAGATTCTCTCAGGTGGGGAGAAACTAGGCAAGGGGGTTTAATAGAAGCAACAACCTCTGTGGCCAGTCTCTTCCTGGGGGTTTCTAACATGAAATGTGTTTTTATCCAACACATATAAGGAGACAGAGGAAAGACTGCATGATTTCCAGAATACTCGTTCTGGCCGCTGTCAGAAAGGCCTAATCTAAAATGACAACAAGGAATCACGGCCTCACTCAGTCCTCTTTCCTCAAGTCTGGACTCAGTCGCTGAGGAACTATTGGATGAGCTTGCAGAAAATAATCAAGCCAGACTTGTTAGTGCTTGTGTTTTCCTTGGTCTTGTGTTGCTTGATTCAGGAGTCATAGAGGCTGGGTAACCTGGCAAGGACTTGTGCATTTGAGAAATGAGTTGACAGGTGCAGCAGAGACTTCTGAGACGGAAAGCCAAAGTAAAAATGGCTTGCATAGTTTTAACCTAAATAACCTTGAAGGAGTCCCATTATAGTGCTGAGTTATCTCAGAAGTGTTTCTATGGTGTGAACATTCTAAGTAGAAATTCGATTTGAAATGATCAGATCTTTTGGCAGGCTGTTAATCAAGTTGACTGTTCCAGTGTTAACCTTTAGTTGCTTCTATTTAAAAAAAAAGTTTTAAGAGTGGGATTTGAAAAGGAAAACACTAACCATGAAATCTTTTAACTTAAAGGGCGTTCATAACACACGGTACAAGGAAGTTACAGCAATTAATATTTATTGAGAGCCTTCTATGTGCCAGGCAGTGTTTTAAAACTTGGTACATGTCTTCTGTAATACTCACTGCAGCCCTAAGAAGCAAGTAGCAAATGGTATCCCTGTTTCATATGTGGAGAACAAGGAATTTTAAGTAATTAGGCTAAGGTCATATTGCTGGTAAATGGTAGAGCTGACAGTTTATTTATTTATTCATTTCTTTATTTTTGAGACAGAATCTCACTCTGTCCCCCAGGCTGGAGTGCAGTGTTGCAATCTCAGCTCACTGCAACCTCCACCTCTCAGGTTCAAGCAGTTCTCCTGCCTCAGCCTCCCAAGTAGCTGGGATTACAGGCACCTGCCACTACGCCCAGCTAATTTTTGTATTTTTAGTAGAGGTAGGGTTTCACTATGTTGGCCAGGCTGGTCTCAAACTCCTGACCTCAAATGATCCACCCACCTCAGCCTCCCAAAGTACTGGGATTACAGGCATGGACCACCACGCCCAGCCTAGAGCTGACATTTTAAACCATCTAATTCCACCAAAGTATTTGCTCTTTTTCCATATTTCTTCCACTTTTGACCAAATATCACCACATGAGAACTAGAGAGAAAGCCTAGAAAAACTGAAAACTTTACCAGGTAGTAATTTAGAGGACTGATGACCCTTAGGACTAGTGGAAGTGGAAAATATACATTCCAGAGCTTAAAGACATTAATAAAAGATGGTTAAAGGAAGTTAGGGGTGTTTAGAGACCCCTCCCAAACCTCTTTGAGGTTGGCATTGACAAGGCAGTATGCTTTCCCTTGATGCTAACGTGAAGGATCAACTAGTGTAGACAAGATGTATAGTCCTCCCTTGATATCTGTGGGGGATTGGTTCCAGGACCGCTTGAGAATACCAAAATCCATGGATAGTCAAGTCCTTTATATAAAATGGTGTAGTATTCACATATAACCTGTATATATGTGAATATCCTCCCAAATATTTTAATTATCTCAGATAACTTATAATACCTAATACAATGTCAATGCTATGTAAATAATTGTTATACTATATTTTTTATTTTTTAATTGTATTTTTTAAATTGTTTCCCCCTCCACAAATATGTTCAATCAATCTGTGGTTGGTTGAATCCACAGATGTGGAACCCATGGATAGGGCCTATTGTACTGTTGTCCTATCCTTTATGGCAATTCTCAAAATCATTTATACCTTTCAAATTTTATGAACTTTAATCCTGAGAGCATTTAATTTCTTTTTTCTCTTTCTTTTTTTTTTTTTTTTTTTGACAGAGTCTCACTCTGTTGCCCAGGCTGGAGTACAGTGGCACGATCTTGGCTCACAGCAACTTCCATTTCCCGGGTTCAAGTGATTCTCCTGCCTCCACCCCCTTAGTAGCTGGGATTACAGGCGCACGCCACCACGGCCCGGCTAACTTTTGTATTTTTAATAGAAATGGGGTTTCACCATGTTAGCCAGGCTGGTCTCGAGCTTCTGACCTCATGATCCACCTGCCTCAGCCTCCCAAAGTTCTGGGATTACAGGCATGAGCCACCACACGCGGCCTTCTTTTTCCTTTCTTTTTGTTTTTGGAGATGGAGTCTCAGCTCTGTCATCCAGGCTGGAGTGCAGTGGTATGATCTTGACTCACTGCAATACTACCACCTCCCAAGTTCAAGCAATTTTCCCGCCTCAGCCTCCTAAGTAGCTGGGGTTACAGGCGTGCCTGGCTAAATTTTTTTGTATTTTTAGTAGAGTTGGGGGCTTCACCATGTTAGCCAAGCTGGTCTCGAACTCCTGAATTCAGCTTATCTGCTCACATCAGCCTCCCAAAGTGCTGAGATTACAGGTATGAGCCACTGCACCAGGCCTTTAGGAGCATTTAATTCCTTGAGTGTCCATGGATTGCAAGGTATTGGACAATAACCTTTGATATTAAACTGATTTCTTTAAGAAGTGTCAGTGCTATAAATGAGATTTAGAATATTTACCTTCCCAGAGCACCTTTAAAAAGTAGTACATACTTACCTTTGCCATACTCTCATCTCTGTTAGTACTCAACTCCCTGAATTATGGCTTACATCCTTACCACTTCCCTAAAGTCTCCAATAATGATTTCATCATGACCTGGCCCCTGAAGGCCTTTCCAGCTTCTTTTCTTCCACCTGAATCTACAAAGCAAATGCCCTATCATAACAGCCTCCTAAAATATGCTATTTGAGGCCTCCATACCACACCTGTTCCTCAGTCTGCAATGCCTCTTCTCGATTGACAAAAGTATAGCATAGAAAAAAAAACTAGGCTGGACACGGTGGCTCATGTCTATAATCCCAGCACTTTGGGAGGCCAAGGCAGGCAGATTGCCTGAGGTCAGGAGTTTGAGATCAACCTGGCCAACATGGTAAAGCCCCACCTCTACTAAAACTACAAAAAAATTAGCTGGGCGTGGTAGTGAGCACCTGTAATCCCAGCCACTAGGGAGGCTGAGACAGAAGAATTGCTCGAACCCAGGAAGCAGAGGTTGTAGTAACCTGAGATCACGCCACTGTACTTGAACCTGGGCAACAGAGCGAGACTCTGCCTCAAAAAAAAAAAAAATAAATAAAAAATTAAATATAAAGAAAAATAAAGACAAAATACCCAGAATTCTACCATACAAGCTAACTACTATTTGTATGTAGATGTATGTTTTTGTAAACCACGCTCGTCCAACCTGACCCAGGACAGTTTTCAATGTGGCCTAACACAAATTCATAAACTTTCTTAAAACATTATTGGATATTTTTTAGCTTATCGGCTATCATTAATGTTAGTGTATTTTATGGGTGGCTCAAGACAATTCTTCCAGTGTGGCCCAGGGAAACCAAAAGATTGAACATCCCTATTAAAGTTTTTTCTTTTCTTTCTTTTTTTTTTTTTTAAATGGAGTTTCACTCTTGTTGCCTAGGCTGGAGTGCAGTGGCTCTGTCTTGGCTCACTGTAACATCCATCTCCTGATTCAAGTGATCCTCCTGCCTCAGCCTCCCAAGTAACTGAGACTCCATTCTAACCTCGGGTGGTCTGCCCACCTTGGCCTCCCAAAGTGTTGGGATTACAGGTGTGAGCCATAAAGCCCAGCCAAACCTTTTTCTTTTCTTTTCTTTTTTTTTGAGATGGAGTCTTGCTCTGTCGCCCAGCTCAAGTGCAGTGGCGTGATCTTGGGCTCACTACAACCTCCGCCTCCTGGGTTAAAGTGATTCACCTGCCTTACTCAGCCTCCCAAGTGTCTGGGATTACAGGTGTGTGCTACCACATCCAGCTAATTTTTTATACTTTTAGTAGAGACAGGGTTTAACCATGTTGGCCAGGTTGGTCTCAGACTCCTGACCTCAGGTTATCCACCCGCCTCAGCCTCCAAAAGTGCTGGGATTATAGGCGTGAGCTACTGTGCCCAGCCAAACCTTCTCTTTATGTGTGTTTGCTTCTAAAACAATCTGGGTTCCAACTTCTTTTGTAACATTTTGGGTTTTTTCTTTTTCTTTTAGACAGGGTCTCTCTCGCTCTGTTTCCCAGGCTGTAGTGCAATGGTGAGATCATGGCTCACTGCAGCCTCAACCACCTGGGCTCAGGTGATCCTCCCACCTCAACCATCAGAATAGTTGGACTACAGGTGCACACCACCAGACTTGGCTTTTTTTTTTTTTTTTCTTTTGAGGCAGTCTCCCTGTGTTTGTCCAGGCGGGAGTGCAGTGGTACACTCCTATATCACTGCAACCTCTGCCTCCCAGGTTCAAGCAATTCTCATGTCTCAGCCTCCCAAGTAGCTGGGATTACAGACGCGTGGCACCATGCTGGCTAATTTTTTAAATATTTTTACTTGAGGATGGGTTTTATCATGTTGTCCAGGCTGGTCTGGATCTGCTGACCTCAAGTGATCAGCTCACCTTGGCCTCCCAAAGTGCTGGGTTTACAGGAATGAGCAACCGTGAGACTTGGGTAGTTTTTAAATTTTTTTTTGTAGAGAGGAAGTCTCACTATGTTGCCCAGGCTGTGTAACATTTTTTTTTAAATTACTGTGGGGGTTTTTCCTTTGTTCTTTGTGTTTTGTTTTGAGGCATGGTTTCAATGTCACCCAGGCTGGAGTGAAGTAGCATGATCACAGTTCACTACAGCCTCGACCTCCTGGGCTCAAGCAGTCCTCTCGCGGCAGCCCCCGAAGTAGCTAGGACTGCAGGCACATGCCATCACACCCAGCTAATTTTTATTTTTTGTTTGTTTGTTTGTAGAGATGGGGTTTCGCCATGTTGCCAAGGCTGGTCTTGAACTCCTAGGCTCAAGCAATCCACCCATTCCAGTCTCCCAAAGTGCTGGGATTACAGGGGAGAGCCACCATCCTGTGTAACAATTTTTAATGGACAACAGTAACTTTGTTTTTTGATGCATCCATAGTTTAACCACATAGTTTCAAAATCTCACCATCATAAATAATATTATAGTACATGTCCTTAAAGCCGAATTCCTGTGCAAATTTATGTTCAATTCAGGAATCGTGCTTTATTTTGGCATAGTATCTACTGTGGTGATATGCTTAGTGATGGTACATTTAATTACAGTAGGATCATTGTGAAAAGCAGCAAATGCCAAAAGTGTTTTTATATTACTTTGCAATAATTGGTTAGCCTTTGATGATTATTGAATCCTTATATGTAACAAAAGTTGTGTTTTAGAAATATGTTGGTGGTTTTAGGGAGGAAAAGTAGGGAGTGGGGAGAGTGTTAAGACAGGGGTACCATTTAGAATAATGTAGTGGCTCTTCAGCAGTTGGGGGTAACTTGGATTGTACTGGCTGTGGAAATCAAAGAAGGAAACACCAGGATTTGATGGCTGATAGATTTCAAAGGAAAAAGAAGGCAAAACATTAGATATCTTGTTCTTTTCAACAAGCAAGACTAGAAAAAATGTGATTGATATTAATATGCAATTAGAGAAATTCAGATACCTGATGATTTTGATATGACTATAGGGAGGGGTTGAATCAGCTTGAGAGGAGGCCTGTGAAGTAAGAATGGATTACAGGTGTGAGCTACCACACCTGGCCTATTTATTCATTTTTACCTCCTCATTTTCTATAGAAAGCTTTTTAATAGGCCCTCAAAAAATGCTTATGGAATACTCCGTGTAAATGGACAGAGTGTTTTAGGAAACTCAACCCAAAGAAATTAAATGACTTGGGCTGGGCCAGTGGCTCCTGCCTGTAATTCCAGCACTTTGGGAGGCCGAGGCAGGTAGATCACCCTAAGGTCAGCAGTTCACAACCAACCTGACCAACATGGTGAAACCCTACCTCTACTAAAAGTACAAAAATTAGCCCAGCGTGGTGGCACGTGCCTATAATCCCAGCTACTTGGGAGACTGAGGCAGGAGAATCACTTGAACCTGGGGGACAGAGGTTGCAGTGAGCCAACATTGTGCCATTGCATTCCAGCCTGGGCAACAAGAGCAAAACTTCATCTCAAAAAAAAAATTAAATAAATGACTTGATGACTTGTTGAAGATTTTACAGATACCTAGTGCCAGGATCCAGACTAGAACCTAAGCCTCTTGACCTTATTTTGTTGTTCTTTATATAATGTGATCTGAATCTAATAGTACTGAATAAGAGAAAAGCAGGAGAGGTTTATAAACTTACTCTTTCTGAAATCTGATCAGTATGTATAGAATAGCAGTCCATTTTGGGATTCTCTTTTTTTTTTTTTTAAGCTTCTTTCTCAAGGTGCAATGAAAGTCCTACACATTTTCTGTGTTGTCCTTCTGGTGTTTGGGAGTGTCTCTGAAGCCAAGTTTGACGATTTTGAGGATGAGGAGGACATAGTAGAGTATGATGATAATGACTTTGCTGAATTCGAGGATGTCATGGAAGACTCTGTTACTGAATCTCCTCAGCGAGTCATAACCACTGAAGATGATGAAGACGAGACCACTGTGGAGTTAGAAGGGCAGGATGAAAACCAAGAAGGAGATTTTGAAGATGTAGATACCCAGGTGAGGCTCTTTTTATTGATTTCTTGGAAAAATTTGTAACTAGCACTTTTCCCAAACATTAAAATTAATCTTTAGGCTCAGAGACCTTTATTGTCTGTAATCTCCATTTTCATTCAGTAAGTAGAGCTCGTCTAAATGTTTTGTGGTAAGTTTCTACCTTTTACATTAATAGAATGAATTTTGTATTATTGAAACCCTGACTGGAAGAGGGGTTGGAGAATAGATACTGTTTGTGGATGAGAATTGTATCATTTAGAACTTTGCAATTGGCTGGGCATGGTGGCTCATGCCTGCAATCCCAGCACTTTGGGAGGCCGAGGCAGGCAGATCACCTTAGATCAGGAGAAATTCAGATTCCTGATGATTTTGAGATGACTGTCGGCAGGGGTTGGGTCAGCGTGAGAGCAGCCTGCCCAACATGATGAAATCCGTCTCTACTAACAGTACAAAAGTTAGCTGGGCATGGTGGTGCACGCCTGTAATCCCAGGTACTTGGGAGGTTGAGGCAGAATAATCGCTTGAACCTGGAAGGCGGAGGTTGCAGTGAGCTGAGATCAAGCCACTGTACCTCAGCCTGGGCAACAGAGCAAGACCCTGTCTCCAAGAAAAAAAAAAAAAAAAAGAACTTTGCAATCAAAAGCATGGGTAGTCATCATTTTGGTGTTTTGGGTGCCCCCCAGCTTTATTGAGGTATAACTGAAAAATAAAAATTGTATATATTTAAGGTGCACAGCATTAGTGTTTTGGTATACCTATGCATTGCGAAATGCTGGCCGGGTGCGGTGGCTCATGCCTGTAATCCCAGTGCTTTGGGAGGCCAAGGCGGGTGGATCATGAGGTCAAGAGATCAATATCATCCTGACCAACATGGTGAAACCCTGTCTCTACGAAAAATACAAAAATTAGCTGGTCATGGTGGTGCAAGCCTGTAGTCCCAGCTACTCAGGAGGCTGAGGCAGGAGAATAGCTTGAATCCAAGAGGCGGAGGTTGCAGTGAGCCCAGATCACACCACTGCGCTCCAGCCTAGTGACAGAGCGAGGCTGGAAAAAAAAAATTGTGAAATGCCTACCACAATCAAGCTAATTAACATAGTTTCCTTCATGTGTATGTGTGTGTTGAGAATATTCAGATCTATTCCCTTAGCAGATTTCAAGTCTACATAATACATTATTAACTGTAGTCACCATGCTGTACTATATGTTGGTCTCCAGAGCTTTTTCATCTTAAGCTGAAATTTGTACCCAGTCATTTTGTTAAAAACATGTAACATCTGTGTTCTGTGCCTGCTGCTTACACATTCTGTTTTCTTCAACAAATGTTGCCAACAAAATGAGACACAGCTGCTGGTGACATTTGTAGAGGAAAACAGATGATGCCTCATTTTTGTAGGATGGAGATACCGAGAGTGAACCATATGATGATGAAGAATTTGAAGGTTATGAAGACAAACCAGATACTTCTTCTAGCAAAAATAAAGACCCAATAACAATTGTTGATGTAGGTATCCAAGATTCTGAATTCCCAACTAAACAACCAAATGTCTTGTCATTCATCCTAGAAATAGACAATGACATATAGCTCGTGCTAATGTAATAGTGGGAGGTGGGAAAGAGTTTGACATCAGTTCTTCTGATAAAAATCAACACCTAGAGAAGCAACCCATATTTATCACTCTAGCCCTGCTAGTTTTACTTACAAGGAATAAGTAAAATGTATTCCTTGGTGATGTACACTACATTGAATTTATTTGGGGGATTAGGGACCAAGTTTAATACAAAGGGCTTTTTAGCTTTTCATCCCATTTGATTGTCCTTATATTTCCTTCAAGAATCTTTGATAAAGCTGGCCTAGAAAAGTAAACTGGACCTATTTTTCAAAGTATAACCATGTTCAATAACAGATTTCTGAAGTATCCCTTCTGTTTATGGATTTTCTCATTCTTCCTCCCATGAGTTAGGCTCCATTCTTCAGTCTCAGCCAACATTTAAAGAAATGATTTTGCTTCTTTAGGTTCCTGCACACCTCCAGAACAGCTGGGAGAGTTATTATCTAGAAATTTTGATGGTGACTGGTCTACTCGCTTATATCATGAATTACATCATTGGGAAGAATAAAAACAGTCGCCTTGCACAGGCCTGGTTTAACACTCATAGGGAGCTTTTGGAGAGCAACTTTACTTTAGTAGGTAAGTGAGGTCAATGTCGGTCCACCTTCTTGCTTGAAAATATCTGGTAAGGATGATGTATTACTGCTAGTATAAGCATCTAAGTGATTTCATGGAATACCAAAGAGGGTACATTGTTTTTTTCTGTCAGGGATCCCCCACATCTTTTTTTTATTTTTTATTTTTCCTTTTTTGAGGCGAAGTCTCAATATGTTACTCAGGCTTATGTGTGGTGGTATGATTATGGTTCACGGCAGCCTCAACCTCCCAGGTCCAAGAGATCCTCCCACCTTAGCCTTCTGAGTAGATAGGACTATAGGCACATGCTACCATACCCAGCTAATTTTTGTATTTTTTGTAGAAACAGAGTTTCACCGTATTGCCCAGGCTGGTCTCGAACCCCTGGGCTCAAGCAATCTGCCTGCCTTGGCCTCCCAAATTGCTGAGATTACAGGCATGAGCTACTATACCTAGCCTTAAGGATCCTGTTTTTTGGCCAGGTGCAATGGCTTATGCCTCTAATTCCAGTGCTTTGGAAGGCCAAGGTGGGAGGATTATTAGGAGCCAGAAGTTTAAGACAAGTCTGGGCAACACAAACTCTAAAAATGGTAAGATATGGTAAGATAAGCAGGGCACAGTGGTGTGCTTCTGTGGTCCTACCTACTCAGGAGGCTGAGGTGGGAGGATTGAGCTCAGGAATTTGAGGCTGCGGTGAGCCAGGATTATGCTACTACACTCCAACCTGGGTGACAGAATGAGACCCTGTCTCTTAAAAAAAAAAAAAAAAAAAAGAATATATTGTATTTAATAATTTTCTCATTAGCAGTAAAATTGCTAAACAGCTTCTGATTAGAATAATGTCATTAATGTTTTTGAAACAAGTTGATAAAATTCTGATGGAAACCAAGAAAGTTCGACATTTTAGATAGCTTGATAGATCGTTTCAGTGCATCCTTTAGAAATTGAAAGTCCCTCAGAGTCTGGACACTTGAGTTTTGGATCCACTGCTGAAATATACACCGAAGGACTTCAAGAAACCTCTGTAGTTTTGCAATGTAGGGAATGAGGTGGACTAACCTCACATTCACCTGTTTGGCGTATAGCACCTTATTTCTCTTTAATAGTAAGTATGTATCCACCTGCTCTGCAACACACTAATGTTTATATATTATGCTAGATACTTTGCATGCAGTGTTTCTTATTTACTTTTTGGAACAACACTGTCAGTTGGATATAGTTGCTATTTTCCTAAGGAGGAAACTGAGGGCAGAAATGTTAAAACTTTTCTAAGTTATTAAATTGCAACCAAGATATCAGAACCTATCTACCGATTTACAAAGTCCACCCTGTCTCCACTATATCATAGTACTTCAGAGTATGTTTTGACCAGGAAATTTGAAAAAAGAAAAAATAATAATTCTCCATATTATTTGGCTCCTTCTGCTTCCTCTTGCTTTTTTTCATTTGATGTATCAGTCTGTTTTCCCTTGTGAGGTTGAGCAATTTATTTTGCATACTTAATGAATTAAACGAAGAGAGAAAATACTGGAATTTGAGCTTTTTTCTAGATCTAAAATACAACTCTTAATACCATTGATAAGACCCAGTTATCATTTTGCACTGGAAAAGAATACTTGGTTAATGTTAATTCACAGGAGACACAGTGAAGAATTGTTGAGTAGTTTGTATTAATGTTATTTTTTATTTACTCCATAGGAGGTTTTTTTTTAACTTTTGGCAGAGATATTTAAACTGATTTTTTCCCATTTTGTGTGTACGCTGAGACTTACAATCCAAGCTGATCATCATTAAACTAAGTACATGCTTAAATCCATGTTTCTTCTTATAGAGACAATAGTTTTGGTAGTAAAAGGAACAGTGCTAATCTATTTTAGTCCTTGTCCAAACAGAGTTCTGTAGGACAGCAAAGTATTGCTACCCTAAAGCTATGATCATTTCAAGATGGAGTCTTGCTCTGTCACCCAGGCTGGAGTGCAATGGCTCGATCTCAGCTCATTGCAGCCCCTGCCTGCGGGGTTCAAACAATTCTGGCTCAGCCTCCCGATTAGCTGGGACTACAGGTGTGAGCCACCTGGGCATTTTCTGTTGAGTCACATTAAGTGGTTTTACCCCTAGGGGATGATGGAACTAACAAAGAAGCCACAAGCACAGGAAAGTTGAACCAGGAGAATGAGCACATCTATAACCTGTGGTGTTCTGGTCGAGTATGCTGTGAGGGCATGCTTATCCAACTGAGGGTAAGTAGGAAACTTCTTGTACAACATATATCTTCATTTAATTTTGTCCAGCTGTGATTCCCAGCCCCCCCCAATTCAACATCTTATCCCTTCATGTTTGACTTAAAATGAGGTCTAAAAGTGATATTTGTACTAACTGGCAAATGTGTCGTGAAGTATATTTGACAAAGCATTTGATTCTCCCTCCAAGACCCTTTCTATATACTAAATAGGTGTTGCAGTTGGATTAACTGGCTTCTCTCATTTTTTTCAGTTCCTCAAGAGACAAGACTTATTGAATGTCCTGGCCCGGATGATGAGGCCAGTGAGTGATCAAGTGGTATGTATTCTTCCTGCTGGTTTTCTGTGTACAGACTGAATTATTTCTTTTTGTTTTGTTTTTTGTGTTTTGAGATGGAGTCTTACTCTGTTTCTCAGGCTAGGATGCAGTGGTGCAATCTTGGCTGACTGCAACTTCCACCTTCCATGTTCAAGCAATTCTCCTACCTCAGCCTTCCAAGTAGCTGGGATTACAGGTGCCCGCCACCACGCCTGACTAATTTTTGTACTTTTAGTAGGGACTAAAAATACACTCTGGTCTTGAAACTCCTGACCTCAAGTGACCCACACACCTCAGCAGATAAACTCAGATGTGACTGGGTACAGTGGCTCACACCTGTAATCCCAGTACTTTGGGAGGCCAAGGCAGGCAGATCACAAGGTCAGGAGTTTGAGACCAGCTGGTCAGTATGGTGAAACCTCGTCTCTACTAAAAATACAAAAATTAGCTGGGCATGGTGGCGCACACCTGTAATCCCAGCTACTCAGGAGGCTGAGGTAGGAGAATTGCACGACCCCAAGAGGCAGAAGTTGCGGTGAGCTGAGATCACTCCAGCCTGGGTGACAGAGTGAGACTCTGTCTCAAAAAAAATAAAATAAAATAAACTCAGGTGTGATTAAAAGGGGTTCAGTGCCGGGCGTGGTGGCTCAAGCCTGTAATCCCAGCACTTTGGGAGACCGAGGCGGGTGGATCACGAGGTCAAGAGATCGAGACCATCATGGTCAACATGGTGAAGCCCCGTCTCTACTAAAAATACAAAACATTAGCTGGGCATGGTGGCGCGTGCCTGTAATCCCAGCTACTCAGGAGGCTGAGGCAGGAGAATTGCGTGAACCCAGGAGGCAGAGGTTGCGGTGAGCCGAGATCGCACCATTGCACTCCAGCCTGGGTAACAAGAGTGAAACTCCGTCTCAAAATAAATAAATAAATAAATAAAATAAAATAAAAAATAAAAATAAAAGGGGTTCAGTATAAGGAATGAAAAATACCCTTATAATTCAGGAAATTTGAAGGGTTTTAGGAGCTCTATGCCTGAAACCTGGGATAAAAACCAAATATATTTCAGTGTATTCCACATTATTCCATGTATATGACTTTGCTTATTTAGGTTCCTATTATTTGTTATTTTTCGACTTGAGTGAAGCTGTATTCGTGTTCTATTGCTGAGTAACAAATTACCCAAATTTAGCAGCTGTTCTATTGCTGCGTAACAAATTACCCAAATTTAGCAGCTTTAAACAACATTCATTTATTATGTCACAGTTTCTGAAGGTCAGAAGTGCAGCATGGGTTTAGTGGGTTCTCTAGGGTTTTAACAGGCTGAAATCAAGATGTCACTTAGGCTAGAGTTCCCTGAAGCTTATGGTCCTCTTAAGGTCATTCGGGCTGTTGGCAGAATTCAGTTCCTTGTGAGTGTTGGTTTCCTCTTTTCCTTTTTTTGTTTTTGCAATTTTTTTGTGACAGGGTCTTGTTCTGTCACCTAGCATGGAGTGCACGATCATCACTTACTACAGCCTCTACCTCCTGGGGCTCAATCAATCCTCCTGCCTCAGCCTCTTGAGTAGCTGGGACTACAGTCATTCCCCACCATGCCTGGCTGGCTAATTTTTCTTCTTTTTTTTTTTTTCTGTAGAGATGGGGTCCCAGTATATGTTGTTTAGGCTGGTCTTGTACTCCTGGGCTCAAGCAGTCTTCTCGCTTTTGCCTCCGAAAGTACCAGGATTACAGGTGTGAGCCACCATGCCTGGCCTTTTCTTTCTTTATTACAGATCGGGTCTGGTCTCAAACTGCTACATCAAGCAGTCCTCCTGCCTCAGCCTCCCAGGTAGCTAGGCTTAAAGGCACGAACTACTGTAGTCCCTATTTTCTTGCTACCTGTCAACTAGGACCCACTCAGTTCCTTAGGTCCTTACCATAAGCACCCTTGGTCCTTACCATATGTTCCCCAACCCCCAACATTCTCATAAGCCCTTTCATATTTTGACTTTCTTCTTCAAGTAGGGCTATAGTCCCTTTTAAGGACTTGCTTGATTAGGTTGGGTATACCCAAGATAACATCCCTTTTGGTTAATTCCAAGTTAGCTGATTAGGGACCTTCTGCCATAAAACAGCCTGATTTATGGTGGTAAATATTCCATCGTATTTGTAAATCCCAATCATTTAAAGGGAGAGTATATACACCAGTGGGGAGGGAATCTTAAGGGTCATTTAGAAATCTGCCTATCACAGAACCTAACAGGTGAATTTTGTTGTTTTTTACATTTTTTAAAGCAAATAAAAGTAACTATGAATGACGAAGACATGGATACCTATGTATTTGCTGTTGGCACACGGAAAGCCTTGGTGCGGCTACAGAAAGAGATGCAGGATTTGGTATGCCAAGTTGCTCCAACTCAAATATACGTAGAACTGTGTCTCTTTAGCACACAGATGTTCCGCTTCATTGCATAATAAAAGGTCATGTCTTACTTTCAAATACTTCTTCCTCCAGAGTGAGTTTTGTAGTGATAAACCTAAGTCTGGAGCTAAGTATGGACTGCCAGACTCTTTGGCCATCCTGTCAGAGATGGGAGAAGTCACAGACGGGATGATGGATACAAAGGTAAATGCAACAGAAGACATACGTTTGCCAGGCCTTGGCATTTACAGGACACTAGTCTCGTTGTGCAAGTTCATCATTTTATGGCAATGTACTAGTTGTATTTTCTTTTCCCATACCAATATTAAAATATCTTCTTTAAGCAATAAATTAGCTTGTCAAAATGACAATTTGATGAGTCAAGTTATCTAAATCAAGAGCAAATTGTTCCTGGGAATGCTAATGACTTTCGGTTTTTTTTGAAAAAGGAGTATAGCTTTTAATCTTTTTTATTGTGTCATTTAGTTTTTTTTTTTTTTTTTTTTTTTTGAGCTCCAGTTTGTGTGGGAGAAGAAGGATATGTAGAGAGCCCTCGTCCTTTGTTTTTAAAAAGATGGGATCTTGAGATGTTGCCCAGGCTGGAGTGCAGTGGCTATTCATGTGTGTGATCAGAACTCACTGCAGCATCAAACTTCTGGGTTCAAGTGATCCTCCTGCCTCAGCAAGAGCCCACCATTGTGCCTGGCTGAGAGAGCCATTTCTTTCTATTGGTTATGTAATAGTAACAGATCTTAGTGTCATAAGAATATAGGATAACTCAGAGATAGTTATAAATGTAAGTTTAAGGTGACATGTTTATAAAGAATCCCCTGAAATTATTTTAGTTATTATCTTTATGTTTTCATTCTTCTTGTTTCGAACATTATTTTGAGAAATATTTTCAGCTGCTCAATAAGAAACTTAATCATTATTATGACTAAAAAGGAGTACTACTTTTTTTTTTTTTTTTTTTTTTTTTAAGTAGGGGTGGGGTTTTGAGATGTTGGCCAGGCTGGTCTGGAACTCCTGGCCTCACTCATCTTGGCCTCCCAAAGTGCCTGGATTACAGGCACGAGCCACTGTGCCCGGGGCCTGGAATACTACTTTCATTCTAAAGAGATTCCCTATTTTATTGAAATTTAATTAAAAAAAACTTTAGCCTTGGCTGCGCTCTGTGGTTCACGTTTGTAATCTCAGCACTTTGGGAGGCAGAAGCAAGAGGATCACTGGAGTCCAGGGGTTCAAGACCAGCCTGGGCAACATAGCAAGACCCCATCTCTACAATAAAAAACTAGCCAGGTGTGGTGGTATATGCCTTTATTCCCAGCTACTCAGCAGGCTGAGGCAAAAAGATCACTTGACCCCAGGAGGTTAAGGCTATGGTGAGCTATGATTGCACCACTGTACTCTGGCCTGGGCAAGAGAGCGAGACCTTGTCTCACAAATAAATTTACATGCTTTAATGAATGACATTGTATAAAAGTAAGTAGGATTGAAGGGTGAATTTCTTTCTTCTTTTTTTTTTTTTTTGGAGATAGAGTCTTGTTCTGTCACCCAGGCTGGAGTGCAGTGGCGTGATCTCGGCTCACTGCAACCTCTACCTCCCAGATTCAAATGCTTCTCTTGCCTCAGCCTCTTGGATAGCTGGGATTACAGGTGCATGCCACCACACCCGGCTAATTTTTTTTGTATTTTTAGTAGAGACAGGATTTCACTATTTTGGCTAGGCTGATCTTGAATTCTCAAACTCCTTGCCTCAAGTGATCCCATTGCCTCCCAAAGTGCTGGGATTACTGGCATGAGCCACTGCACCCAGACTCAAAGAGTGAATATCTTTATGAAAAAAAGGGAAATGCATTAAGTACTGCTTTTAAGAAATATTATTTTCTTTTTTTCAGATGGTTCACTTTCTAACACACTATGCTGACAAGATTGAATCTGTTCATTTTTCAGACCAGTTTTCTGGTCCAAAAATTATGCAAGAGTACGTATAAGATAAAATTATTGAAATTAATTTTCCTCACTAGCTTTCTGTGTTGAAACACTTGTAAAGTGCTTCTGCAATATCCCTTACCAAATGTGTGAAGGAAGTTGGTGACAGGCCTCCACGTTTCCCTTTGCTTTGACTGCATGCATCATGAGAGGCCATTGAAAACCTATGGAAGAGAAATGAGCCTCCCCTATCCCAGTTTGCATGCTTCCCTGCATGTTTGCACCACTCACTCAGTGAGGTGGACGGGAATCTTACAGAATGGCTGGTGCTAACAAAATGCAGTTGGTATTTTTTTTTTCCTTTATAGCTTAGGTTCTTTTTTTTATGATAATAATTTATGTGGGATGTTTGACTTATGTCTGATTGCAAATCTGTGTTTGGTAATAAATGGCCTCTTCTGGCTTCCCTCTTTGAATAGTTGATTGTATCCTTTCCTAGTGTATTATCAGATGCCCACAACGCCCATAGGTTTTCTAGCTTTATAGTAATACTGTTCAGGAGTACATATTCAGGACTTAGATTTGTTCTTTGAATTCACAGCCTGCCTCAGGAGAGCATATTTATTTACATTTATCCTCAGTTTGAAACTGGTTCTGACCTAAATTTTTAGTTAAAGCCTACCCTCTGATAGGCTGTGAAGTTGAGCACAATTCAAACCAATCTGGATTTTAGTTGTATACTAAGATTACTCAGATCCTTATGTCTCTAGATAGTGCTGCATCATCCTTGTCTTGCTCAACTCAATGACACTGAGGACAGTATTTCACATTGTAACATTCATCAAACCTTTTGTATATGGGAGGGAGGGCCATTGATAGTCAAAGAATTGATACCAGCAGAGATTACAAAGGAATCCTCAATGACAGAAATAAATTATATATGCTATAGTAGATTATCCCTAAATTTATTCTGAGCCTAACTCAAAGATAAGATAAGATGCATTGTTGCAGGAAGACAGCATAGGAGATGGAAATTAAACATAAAAAATCCATCAAAATAAGCAAAAATGGTATTTAAAATATGGGCCTTATACTTAAATATAGGCTCATTTCTGGCTCCCCAGGTGAGATGGAATATACCCTGCCTGGAGGGAACATCACTGGAGGTGTTCAAGTATAGGATAAAGATCACTTGAAAACGCATCCATCAGATAGACGAGTGGACCAGATGACCTGTAAAGCTCCTTCGGGCTCTGAGATTATATTTGACTTGGGCATGCCAAGCCAAATACTGTGCTGATTATGTGCAGGTATCTGTTCATCTAAGTGAATTGGGTGACTTGTGTGCATGGAAAACATCTTTCTTGTATTCCCTCTTAATTGCCTTTTCTTTTATGACAGGGAAGGTCAGCCTTTAAAGCTACCTGACACTAAGAGGACACTATTGTTTACATTTAATGGTAAGTGCTCTGGGTCCTTTCTGGATTCTTAGTCTTGTCTGAGATGACCTTAAGGAGAATATTGTTTCCTCCTAAATGATAGCTTTAAAATTACGTCAAAACTATAACCCTGTGCTTGCTTGCTGATTTCCATATTTCTTCAAGAAGAAATTACCTTTTATATATCTTAATTTATATTTTCTCTGCTGCATTTTAACTGCCTAAGAAACTTAGAGAAATGAGCCTGTTAAGTTAAAAAAAAAAAAAAGAGTTGGGTGACCTGGAAATATTAATGCTACCATTAACTCAGTATGAAAAATGGCTTTGTTTTCTAGTGCCTGGCTCAGGTAACACTTACCCAAAGGATATGGAGGCACTGCTACCCCTGATGAACATGGTGATTTATTCTATTGATAAAGCCAAAAAGTTCCGACTCAACAGAGAAGTAAGACCCAATGCCTATATTTTATAAATTGGCACCTTTTTTTGTTTCTTCCCAAGGGCGGGGGGGGGGCAGCTATCAATTATTTCAGTGACTGAATCTTTGCTAGTTGATCTAGAAGTGTCAAATGGGAGTAATTTTATGAAAGAATGCTAAATGGGATTTTGCTGCTATTGGCTAGAAGTGGATTTCTTATGAAACACTTTGTTTCTTGGGGAAGGGCAAACAAAAAGCAGATAAGAACCGTGCCCGAGTAGAGGAGAACTTCCTGAAGCTTACACATGTGCAAAGACAGGAAGCTGCACAGTCTCGGCGGGAGGAGAAAAAAAGAGCAGAGAAGGAGCGAATCATGAATGAGGAAGATCCTGAGAAACAGCGCAGGCTAGAGGTTAGACAAACTTGTCTTATCACTGGGGTAAAACTACGATTTGTAAGGATGCCTGCTGTGTTCTGTTGGTTATTAAGGTAATAATCTTCGTAGGCTAAAAGTTTAGCATTTTCTCAACATTTGGGACATTGTGTCAATTGATAACACTATAAAGAAGAATAAATAATCCTTCCTTTTCAAGCCATGCTACATTGAGTCTGTGAACCTGAAAAATTATTGTTATCCTGATCCCCCAGCACAATTTCATTTTGAAAATTCCATTATCAGTTTTCAAGCCAAACACTTTGGTAGAAAGAAATTAGAAATTTTAGTAGAAGGCAGCACATGTGCCCTATTATCTAAATAAACTTAGTAAAATTTAAAATCTGATTATAGAATTAGAGATTTCTAATATTTTTGTTTGTATTTTTGTTTTCTGTTTTTTACCTAACTAGAATCTCAAACTCAAAAGCTTTTTTTAAGTATGTTATATTTGAAAGCTCAGTATGTTCTGATACGTTTCTGAAATAAGATGCCATAGTCCAACTCTAAAATTTTAAACCTTGTAAATGCTGGTCAAAAAAGAGAACAAAGTGCAGTGGCTCACACTTGTAATCCCAACACTTTGGGAGGCCAAGGCAAGCAGATTGTTTGAGCCCATGAGTCCAAATAAGCCTGGGCAACATCATGAGACCTCGTCTCTACTAGAAAAAAAAAATTAGCTGTGCATAGTGGTGCACACCTGTAGTCCCAGCTACTTGGGAGACTAAGGTGGAAGGATTACTTGAACCTGGGAGAGTCAAGTTATAGTAAGCTATGATCACGCCACTGCACTGTAGCCTGGGCAGCCAAAAAAAAAAAAAAAAAAAGCCGGAGGGGGAGAACAAAGTTCTGGAAGATGTGAATTTTAATGAGAATAATCTTGAGATAATTGAAGAATATTCTTAGGAGCAAAGGGGTCATGCGTCCAAGAAAATGTGAGCTTCCATGCAGTCCTATATTGGCAGCAGTGTCATTAATGCTATTGAGTGAACTGCCTAGGATACCTCAGGCCTGTCATCATCTTAACCCTCTTATTATTTTTTTTGTTTGTTTTATTTGGCTTGGTTTAGTGATAGGTATTTTCCCCTGAAAATGTAGCTCTGTGTTTATGCAGTCTTCTTTATAAATAAATGTGGCTTTTTAATGTGTACATGTGAAGAATCTACGTAAGATTCATTAATAGGTAATGCCTTTCATTTTTATATAAAAAAGGAAGTTCTCCATTTCTTTCTAAGGTTTGAAACTATAATGAGTTAAAGGAAGAGCGGGGCCTCTAACTTAACCTGAGTCAGATTGTAAGCATCTTGTAAATGTAAATTATTTAATTTTTAAAACTACCATTTTATAGTATCTGATCTGGGTACCTTATAATAAGATCTGGTGAATGCAATAAAACAACCCACCCAACCTCCTCTACCGGTATGTGATATGAAAGTTCCTTTTTTTCCTTTTAATTTGTTTTTGTTTTTATTTTTGAGATAGGGTTCTGCTCCGTTGCCCAGGCTGGAGTGCACAATTGTAGCTCACTGCAGCTTCAAACTCCTGGACTCAAGCCATCCTCCCATCTTGGCCTCCCAATGTGCTGGGACTACAGGTGTCAGCCACTGTGCCCAGCCTGAGAGCTCCTCTTTACTCATATCTTTTCAAAAACTGGTTGTCAGTTTTTTTTCTGGCTCTGGTAGTGGGGAAATGGTATCCCATTTGTTTTGTATTTTTTGAATTATTATTGAAGTTGAACATTTTTCATATATATTGACTTAACACATATGCCTCTTAAACGTGTTGGCATAAATATATTTCTCTCTCTTTTTTTGAGACAAATTCACGCTGTCGCCCAGACTGGAGTGCAGTGGCACAATCTTGGCTCACTGCAACCTCTGCCTCCCAGGTTCAAGTGATTCTTACAACGCAGCCTCCCAAATAGCTGGGATTACAAGTGCCCGCCACGAAGCCGGCTAATTTTTGTATTTTTAGTAGAGACAAAGTTTCACCACCATAGGCAGCCTGATCTCAAACTCCTGACCTCTCAAGTAATCTACCTGACTCAGCCTCCCAAACTGTAGACGAGATTTCACCACATTGGCCAGGCTAGTCTCGAACACCTGACCTCTCAAGTGACCCGCCAGCCTCAGCCAGCACGCCTGGCCAATATTTTGTATTCATGATACTGTTTTCTGTGTATCAGTAGTGTTACATGTGTGTGTAATATGTAATGCGGGAGATAGGGATGGGTAGTGCTGGGAAAAGAATGAATGTGGTGGAGGTAAGGGTTGGGACAATGAGAAGAGGACATTGGGATTGAACCCAGGAGGTGGAGGTTGCAGTGAGCCGGGAGCCATTGCAGTCCAGCCTGGGCAACAAGAGCAAAACTCTGTCTGAAAAACAAACTTAAGACAGGCTGGCCATGGTGGCTCACACCTGTAATCCTAACATTTTGGGTGGCAGAGGCTGGTGGATCACTTGAGGTCAGGAGTTCAAGACCAGCCTGACCAATATGGTGAAACCCCATCTCTACTAAAAATACAAAGATTAGCTGGGCGTGGTGGCATGCACCTGTAATCCCAGGAGGCTGAGGCAGGAGAATCGCTCTGGGCAACAGAACAAGACCTGGCCAGGCGTGGTGGCTCATGCCTGCAATCCCAGCACTTTGGGAGGCCAAGGTGAGCAGTGAGATCAGGAGTTCAAGAGCAGCCTGGCCAACGTGGTTGAAACCCCATCTGTACTAAAAATAACAAAAATTAGCTGGGTGTGATGGCTTGTGCCTATAATCCCAGCTACTAGGGAGGCTGAGGCAGGAGAATTGCTTAAACCTGGGAGACAGAGGCTGCAGTGACCTGAGATAGTACCACTGCACTCCAGTCTTGGTGACAGAGCAAGACCCTATCTCAAAAAAAAAAAAAAAAAAAAGACAGCAGTTCCCAAACCAGGAATTTACAAATCACCCTTTGAAACCTAATTTATTGCACTATGAAGAACTATATATGCTTTGTGCTGCCTCTCCCTTATTTTCTCCATCCTGTACCAGTTGAGGAATATATTTCTTAGGACATTTCTACTCCAGTACTCAAAAAATATAGTTTGAGATTATAGCTGAAATAAGCTTTAATCAGGTGTGACCACTAGTGGCCAACAGTAAAGTTGTACTTTAACTTGATCTCTAAGGCTTCTCTCCGTCTACATAACAACAACCTGAACCTTCTTCTTCCTCTTCTATGTAACTTCCGAATTCCTAAATAAAAATATGATGAATTTGATAATTTTTATCAAATTTATTTTATCATATTTGATAAATATGAAAATGTCCCATATTGAACATTATAAATTTAAGTATTGTGTGCAGGTATACTGTCTGTGCTATTAAGAAGAAATTTGCAATGAATAACCTGATGGAGCAAGATTCTTAAAGTTTATTGAACTAAAGTCCAGTGTGTCTTTGGCAGTGGTATATTTATGATATAATGCCACCATCGTGAATGGTACGGTGAACATTGGATTAAGTGTTTCCTGGTAACAGAAAATATTAAACCAGAATAATGAAGCCTGCTTAATTGTAATAGTTTATTTCCAAACTGAGATTTTAGTTTCCCTTTGCTTCATTTGAAGTTGATTTAATTTTCATTCACCAATATAGGTATTGGCAATTATTTTTATAACTATCTTCTAGAATGTTAACTTATGGTGCAAGCCTGTTTTTGAATACTATATGCAGTATTCTAGTTTGGATTTTTTTTTTTTAACATGTTTAGAGCTTAATTTGAATTCTCTCTCATCCCCACTCCCTTTCTCTTTCTATTACCCCTTCTTTAGGAAGCTGCGTTGAGGCGTGAGCAAAAGAAGTTGGAAAAGAAGCAAATGAAAATGAAACAAATCAAAGTGAAAGCCATGTAAAGTCATCCCAGAGATTTGAGTTCTGATGCCACCTGTAACTTCTGAATTCATAGGAAACATGAAAAACACCAGTCCATTTCCCAGCCTGAAATTTCAGACACTCTTGGGCAACTGAGAAATCCTTATTTTATCATCTACTCTGTTTGGGGTTTGGAGTTTTACAGAGGTTGTAGATACCTTGAAAGGGCTCTGTTTCAAGAATTTTTTTCAGATAATCAAATTATTTTGATTATTTTATAAAAGGAATGAAATCTGTGTAGGTTTTAAATATTTTAAAAATTATAATATGAATCATCAGTGCTTTTGGTACTTCAGTGTTTGAAGAAATACCATGAAATTTACAGGTAGATAACCAGATTGTTGCTTTTTGTTTAAACTAAGCAGTTGAAATGGCTATAAAGACTGACTTTAAACCAAGATTCCACAAATAATGATTGGAATTGCGCAATAAACATTGCTTGATGTTTTCTTGTATGTCTACATTAAACTTGAGAAAAAGTAAAAATTAGAATGCAGTATGTGGTAATGAAATTTCAGGGACCCAGAACATAATGTAGTATATGTTTTGAGGTGGGAAATGCTGATAACAGAATTAGTAGGAAGTCTGTAGGCATTAGGATACTGACATGGACATTGGAAAAGTCTAGGGACAGGAGCACCAGTTTTTCCTTACCTGATACCACAAACCAATGACAACATGAATGCTGTATTTTAAGTGGTTGTATGTTTATTTTCTTGAGTAACAAATGCATGAAAAATTAATGCTTCACGTAGGTAAGATCACTGATACATGTGAAGTCCAAGTGTTTTTCCTTCTTGGTTGCTACAGCCTGGTGGATGTTCATGGAGAAGCTGTGTTCTCTGTGTTATGGCTGTGTACCTTTGCTTCTTCTTTTGCTTTTTTCTTTTCCATAATTGAGGCTGGATATGTTCTTTCAAAGAAATGTCCATGAATATGTGTAAGTATACTTTTGAAAATGAGCTTTCCTAATTATTGAGAGTTCTTTCCGCCTCTTGAGGAAGCATCTCTTGGAGGAGAGGCCGACGTATCTGCACGAGCACTTAGCTTGTTCAGATTGCTGCATTTTATAAATGCTTCCTACTAAGAAAGCATTTTTTAGGTCATTGCTTGTACCAGGTAATTTTTGCCAGGGATGGGTAAGGGTTGGGTTTTCTGGTGGGAGCGGGGTGGGGGGTATTTTTTGTTGATGCTTTAGTGCAGGCCTGTTCTGAGGCAATAACAACAAGTTGCTGTGAAAACAGCATGTGCTACTGCCTTTGTAACTGCATGAAAACTTTTCACATGGGTTTTCTCTAGGTTAATACAGAAATATGTAAACTGAGAGATGCAAATGTAATATTTTTAACAGTTCATGAAGTTGTTATTAAAATAACAAAAATAACATAAACCTTAATATTATATAATTGCAGAATTAGCCTTGTTTTACAAACCTTTAAAATACATTTTAGAAATCAAAGTTGATAGTCTTAGTTATCTTTTGAGTAAGAAAAGCTTTCCTAAAGTCCCACACATTTGGACCATGGCAGCTAATTTTGTAATTTAAGCATTCATATGAACTACCTATGGACATATATATTAAACTCATTGACAAAATCTCACAGTGCCGCCTTGACTTTCTGGAATTATCCTACAAGAGTATAAGCTCATAGGAAACCTCTTTCATATATATTAAACTCATTGACAAAATCTCACAGTGCCGCCTTGACTTTCTGGAATTATCCTACAAGAGTATAAGCTCATAGGAAACCTCTTTCTGTTCATTAAAAGTCAGCACTGACATGCTTTTCTTTCAGAAGAGTTCATCTGAATATTCCTTTTGTTGTTACCGTTCAATCATTTTAAAACATTTTATATTTTTAGAGCTCCGTATGTTATTTATAGGCTCCTTCCTGCAGTAAGACTCCATTAACTCTCCTGTGAATGTGAGGACAAATAGAGTAGGATGTTGTTTAGTGTCACACACTAGAAAACCATTAGGTCTCCAATCCTGTTTGCATTGCCTGGATGTTTAGCAATAACAAAATAAGCAGTGGACTGGAAGACAAAGACCTGGCTTTTAGTGCCAGCAAAACTAATTACTAATCCTTTGATGTTGGGCAAGTTATTAACTTAATGTGAAGTGAGGATACTAATTATTTGCCCTGCCTACTTCACAGGTATTTGAACACTAAGAGATAATATTATATATGTAAGAATTTTTGTAAACTGTTAAGCACTTTGCGAGTATAAGGCATCATGCAGGACTGGTCTCCAAGTGATGCATTTTTGCTTTACTCTCTTTTGCTTTTCTTTTTCCCAATGAAAACCAGTAGATCCTTTCAGAGTTCTTCATCTGCAAAAATTGATAAGGTATTTTTTGAGGAAGAGGGGAGTAGCTTATGATTCTGTTTCCTTAGTAATAGGAAGCTTTTCCCTGTGAAAACCAGATGTGAAACTCCTTTCTTTAGATGGAATTTAGGCAAAAGAAAAACATGGATTTCTTATTCCACCCATTCAACAGGAATTGGCAATGTGAAGACTATTTAGAATTGTGTTGTACAAGGATCCAATGGATTTGGCAGGAGGAGTGAAACACGACTTTAACCTTCCAGGTTCCCATTCCTTACATTCCTGTGTCCTTTCATTTGGAATGATGTGAAAGAATTTTAGAGAAGAGTTATACCCCTAGGAGTGGCTTCTGTTACCAACTGCTAAAATAGAATAGTTCTGAGGCAATAACATGTTTTCTCTGCCCATTTGTAATGGCTGGCTGCAAGAAGCTTAGCATCTTTTCGGGTAGCCTTCTCTAATAACGGGTTCAAAAAGACATGAAAGTCTCTTCAGTAGAACACTGCTAGAAATATTACTTCTCTGTTTATGCTATGTTGCTTTGTGAGTTTACCCAGTTTGCTCCTGAGAGTGGCATCTTATTTTGATAATGAGAGCATGTGAGGTAGCCCTTAGCAATGTCAAAGCACTGGATAAAATTAAAGTGATATATGTAGGATCAAATGAGACCTCATGTGCATACATGTCCCACAGTTCCAGCGGCATTATTTTCATTAGTCCCTGCTTGGACGTAGCTAAACTTCTCCCCCAGTCTTGGAAGTTAGGACAGTCTAAATCTGTGTCAAGGCTCAGAGCTGGGAAGAGCGAGTGTGCATTACCTGATGGTATATATCCACTTTTTGGACACCCCCTCCCTCCAACGCAGGGAATAAGTCACTGAAAAACCTAGTCTCACAGGAGTGGGGCTTAGTCCATCATTGGATCGCTTCCTCATTTCTCAAGCCCTGCATAACCTGGCTTGGGCAGACCTGATAGGTTTCCACAAACGGCCTAAGCTGTAGATGAGGAAGGCTTCAGGGGGAAAAAAGATGCAGAGGGGACAAGATGATCATTTTAATTAGTGAAGCTATTTTCCTCATTTTACAGACCAATGGGCGCAAAGAACGGATGGGCTTCCCCTTTGCAGCTTGTCTGGTGCCCGAGAGGCCAAAGTGACGGGCGTTTGAGATACCTTCCAAGAAAAGTGCGAGGCGGGTTTTCCCATAGAAGTCCTACCACGTGAAATGAGAAAAAAATTCTCAGAGCAGCCAAGTTTACCTCTCTCTGTTCCTTCATTTCTCTGCTTCCCCCTCCCGCTGCGCGGCGGAGGCGCCGAGCAGCCGGAAAGACAACTGGAGCTGAAAACGGCTCTGCGCGCGGCGGCGCCTGTGGCCGGCCGCACCCCTGGCCAATCGGAAAAGGCGGAGCTTCCCCGCGGGACGGGGCGGGGCGCTCTATCGGCCCTCCCGGTGGCCCGACTGCGCATGGCACGTTGCGTACCCCACTCCCAGCAATCGGCTTGGCAGCGGCGCGGCCATAAAACTTAGGAGGCGGAGCTGAGACGGTCGGGACTGCTTGCTAACTCCAAGAACAGGTACCGGCCTGGCGGCGTGCCTGGTGCGCTGCAGGGGCCCGTCTCTCCGTGGCTCTGCCACCGATTCCATCTCCCCAGGCCCAGACCTTCATCGGAGCGGCCATCCCGGGCTCACCCTCGCCCTCCACCGGCCTCCTTTTTAACCCGCGTCCTCGACTCCCGCAGTGAGGCGCCGCAGCCCGAGAGCAGAATAGGCTTGGGCCTGTCAGGGAGACGCTGAAATGGAGTTGCCCGGCAAGACAGACGGGCTGTGCTTTCCCCTTCCTTCCCACCCCCGGGACTTCCATGTGGGGAACCTGGGGCTGGATGCTGGTTTTGTCCTGCGCAGGCAGAGTAGCTGCCGACCGCGGTGCTGAGCTCCCCGCTCTCCCCAGCCGCTGCGCACCTCGGGCTGACAGGCAGCGGGTCAAGTCCCCGTAAGGACCAAGATCCAGATGACTCCCAGAATCGGCCAAAACGAAGAGCTCATTGTATTTTTCTTTTCTAAGAATGTTTTTGAGTGTCTGCAGGGGATTTGGGGCGCCAGAGATGGGGGTTGGGAGTAGGGAAGAGAGCACGAGGGAAGGGCAGTGGTTAGGTAAAAATTGTTCATAGTTGTCAGGAAATAGGGAACTAACCTCTGCCCAGCCTTCTCCTGTATCCTAGCATACTTTAACTTGACTTTCCTCGAAAGAAAAGCCATTGGAATCTGCCCTTTTCTTTGTGTAATATCTGCTCAAGCAGAAGCTTGTACCAATACGTATATGCGACGTTAAGATAATTCTTCATTGACACTCATACCTTTCTGAAAATACCCAGAACTGTTTCTTGTCCCTGAGAGTTAAAGAAGAAACCAAATTTGATTACCTGCCTAGAAGCCTGTGAATTCAACCGTTAATTACAGGGTTGAACTGGTCAAATCGGTTCCTAACTTTTTTACCAGGTTTCTTAGAGGTGTTTTGGCTGGAATGCAATGTTTATAGTTGTGGCCTCAGAAATGGAGAAAGTTTACTCTGGTTTTTAGAGCACAGGCTTTGGAACAGATTTAATTAGTCCCTACCACTTACATGTGTGACTTTGGCCATTTAACCTCCCTGCACCTTAATTTCCTGATTTGTAAAACAGGGATGATAATAATACTTGTGAGCTGCTCATGAAGCATTTAGCACAGTGCCTGCCACGTAGGAAGTTTGCCATAAATGTTTGCTGGGTTTATTATTTTCTTTATTTTTTATTTTATATTTTTGAGATAGAGTTTCACTCGTCATCCAGGTTGTAGTCCAATGATACAGTCTCACCTTACTGCAACCTCAGCCTCCCAGGTTCTAGCACTTCTCCAGGCTCAGCCTCCCAAATAGCTGGGATTACAGGCACCTGCCACCTCCCCCGGCTAATTTTTGTATTTTTAGTAGAGACAGGGTTTCACCACGTTGGGCAGGCTGGTCACAAACTCCTGACCTCAGGTGATCCACCCACCTCAGCTTCCCAAAGTGCTGGGATTGCAGGCGTGAGCCACTGTGCCCAGCCAATAAAGCTGTTTCTATACCTGTCCACTAGTAATATTGCTTTGCTAATGTATATATACGTAGTGTTAAACAATCCCACTAGGCTGGGTACAGTGGCCTACCCCTATAATCCCAGCACTTTGAGAGACTGAGGCAGTATGATTGCTTGAGCTCCGGAGTTTGAGACCAGCCAGGGCAACATAGCAAGGCCTCATCTCTCTTGAAAATTTTTAAAAATTAGCCGAGCTTTGTGGTGCATATCTGTAGTCCCAGCTGCTTCGGTGCTAAGGTGGGAGGATCACTTGAGCTCAGGAGTTTAAGGCTGCAGTGAGCTATGATAGTGCCACTGCACTCCAGCCTGGGCAACAGAGCAAGACCCTGTCTCGAAAAAATACATATATACACACATATATATTTACATATATATCATATGTACATATTATGTAATATATACATACATATGTATTTGTTCTTGATATGTGGGGGTATATCTTTCTAATGATATCCAACTAACTTCCCCTTAGAATTTACATTTTAAGGAAATTTACATTTACATTTTAAGGAAATTTGGAGGGAGCAGAGTGATAATGTCATACAGATAACCAAGCATGGAGGCTCATGCCTGTAATCCTAGCACTTTGGAAGACTGCTGCAGGAGGATTGCTTGAGCTCAGGAGTTTGAGACCAGCTTGGGCAAGTTCATTTGTACATGATTCAATCCGAAAGTAGAAAAGTTCTTCATAATTTATATACTGTTTACTCCTAATCACGAGCTCAAATGTATTTTTTTTTATTAACACGATTTTATCAAAGAAAATACCTGTGTGCAGTTATTGAAATAATTATACAGGGGGGCCATAAAAAAAAGTAGCAATCTCTCATCTCTACCTCTCTCCATCCCTGTTTCTGTTCTCCACTGTTATTTTTTTGAGATGGAGTCTGCACTCTGTAGCCCAAGCTGGAGTGCAGTAGGGCGATCTCAGTGCACTGCAACCTCTGCCTCCGGGCTCAAGTGATTCTCCTGCCTCAGCCTCCTGAGTAGCTGGGACTACAGGTGCACATCACCACGCCCAGCTAATTTTTTGTATTTCAGTAGAGACGGGGTTTCACCATGTTGCCCAGGGTGGTCTTGAACTCCTGAACTCAGGAGATCTGCCCGCCTCACCCTCCCAAAGTGCTGGGATTACAGGCATGAGCCACTGCACCCAGCCCCATGAATTATTTAATCATTTTTTGTTTTAGTTCCTTTAATGATGGACTTCTGTAATTCTAAACAACATGTTTAGACATTCCACTCTGACAGGAAAGACAGAGAAATGACTAGGGAAGCTTGTCATTATTTTCCCAGGAGAGTAAAGATCATGCTAAATCTCATACCACCCCCTCCTCACTGCTTCCCAACTTGTTCTTTTTCATTTCTTTTTTTTTTTTTTTTTTTTTTGAGACAGTGTCCTGCTGTGTTGCCCAAACTGAAGTGCAGTGGCTCAGTCTCAGCTCACTGCAGCCTCCACCTCTGGAGCTCAAGTGATCTTCCCGTCTCAGCCTCCTGAGTAGCTGGGACCACAGGCACATGTCACCATGCCTGGCCAATTCTTGTATTTTAGTAGAGATGGGGTTTTGAACTCCTGGGCTCAGGTGATCTTGCCCACCTCTGTCTCCCATAGTGCTAGGAATACAGGCATGAGCCAGTGGGCCCAGCCAGCACCTCCCAACTTTTGATAGTTGAATCCTTCTATTTTTACTTATGTTGGTTACCTTTGTAACCTTAAATATTATACATAAATTTCTGTTTGTTATCCTATCAACTTGCAGCATTAACTTTACCCTCTTGGTAAGATAGCGATATTAGCTTCCCTAGTCATTCCTGTCTCTTCCCCCTTCCATTTTCCATCTTCAGTCAGGTGAAACTTTACTTTCATATTATCAAATTGGAAGGCATTTACATTCTGTTCTATAACTGTAATTAAGTTTGTCACGCTTTGTCTATAGTCCTAAAACTTATAAGCTGATAATAAGCACTTACAGACTTGTAAGTGTATTATTCACAAAACAGCCAAGTGTTTTTCTGCACTGCAGTTCCATTGTCTTAACTTCCCTGTCATTCAAGATCAAGTGGATTTTTCTTTCTCATTCCTTGCTGAACTATCTCAAAAGAAATTATTTTTGAGACAGAGTCCTGTTCTGTCACCCAGGCTGGAGTGCAGTGGTACGATCTCTGCCCGCTGCAACCTCCACCTCCCAGATTCAAGTGATTCTCCTGCCTCAGCTTCTCCAGTAGCTGGGACTACAGGCATCCACCACCATGCCCAGCTACTTTTTGTATTTTCAGTAGAGACAGGGTTTCACCATGTTGACCAGGCTGGTGTTGAACTCCTGACCTCAGGTGATCTGCCTGCCTTGGCTTCCCAAAGTGCTGGATTACAGGCATGAGCCACTGCACCTGGCCAAACTTTCTCAGAATTGTAACACAGTTAAGTTTGTTTCAAATTCGGACTTTAACTTTTTAAATATGGTTTTAATTTCTGTTGGAGTTTTTGGTTCTAATTTTGACTGATTCCTTTCTTGATCAGCTTTATAGCTATCATCTTGAGATATCTCTTCAATGGACATACTTTTTTTTTTTTTTTGAGATAGAGTCTTGCTCCGTCACCCAGGCTGGAGTGCAATAGTGCAGTGGCATGATCTCGGCTCACTGCAACTTCGCCCTCCCAGGTTGAAGCAATTCTCCTGCCTCAGCCCCACGAGTAGCCAACGTTACAGGTGTCTGCCACCATGCCTAGTTAATTATTGTATTTTTAGTAGAGACAGGGTTTCATCATGTTGGTCAGGCTGGTCTTGAACTCCTGACCTCAGATGATCCACCTGCCTCAGCTTCCCATAGTACTGGGATTACAGGCGTGGGCCACTGTGCCCACCTGGACACACCACTTTTTATATCTCGTAGCATCCTTTTTAGATTTTAGCCTCATTTTGCTGGAGTACATTCTCAAGTCATATTAAACATATGTGGGGTGGGTGTGGTGGCTCACGCCTGTAATCGCAGCACTTTGGGAGGCCAAGGCGGGCAGATCACCTGAGGTGTTTGAGACCAGCCTGGCCAACATGGTTACACCCCAAATCTACTAAAACTACAAAAATTAGCCAGGCGTGGTGGCACACGCCTGTAATCCCTGCTACTCTGGAGACTGAGGCAGGAGAATCCCTTGAACCCAGGGAGGCAAAGGTTGCAGTGCGCTGAGATGGCACCATTGCACTCCAATCTGGGCAGCAAGAGCCAGACTCCATTTCAAGAAAAAGAAAAAGAAAAGCAAAGCTGCTGACTGGCAGCTCTGGATTTCAGACTCATGGACATGAGTGGGCACTTATGCCTGTGCTTGTTTTCAGCCCCGCTGCTTCTTCCCTCATTCCTTACTGCTACAGTTTTGGTTCAGAGACCCTTAGGATTGTCTGCTGGGCAGATGTGCCGTCTCCTCTGCTATACTCTCCAATCACATTCTAGCCTGCAGCTTTCTCTCCATTTCCTGAGACAGCACTCTTCTGTCCACTTTTCACCTCCAGAAATGTATTGAAATTTCATTTACTAATGGATCCTCTTATTCTGTCCTCAGACACAAGTTTATTATTTTTATTTATTTGCCTTAATTGGGACCTTGGGAGAGAGGTGAGATAAATACTTGTGCTCAGTCTATAATCTTGAATCAGAAGCCTGAATATCTAGTTTTTCTAAATCTCTGAAAAAGTTTATTTTAAGGTCTCTCCTAGAAACATAAGCCATTATTATTATTATTATTATTATTTTTTTA